TACGGTTATTACTATTCATGCTTCAAAAGTAGGAGTAAACAATAAAGTTAGAATTAAAAATGTCAGTAATACTTCATATAGCGACGTGCAAGAACACGAAACAGCAGTCAATAATAACTTACTTTTTACCATTTTATTTAATGTATTACGTATGACAACATTTTTAATATGTCCCACATGTGTTGTCTTCATTCCTCGTTGACCTCAACTTATAAATGGAGTATATTAATGATTAAACTTGACGCTAAGTAATAAATAACACTGATATGCATTATAATACTGCGGTCAGATTTTATCGTAGACGAAAATATGGAAACGCCATAATGGTATTTATTCGTCAAATAGCGCCAAATTAATTGTTTAATTGTAACAATGTCAATACTCAATGTCAAGTACATGATACATATTGTAAATGTTGATCATAGTTTCAGTTCGATGTAACGTCCTATACCGGGTCTACGATGACGATATGTATAGACGACAGCTACCACAGTGGCGCCCAAAATAACTATAACAACAACTATGACGATAGCTACGGCGGCTGATCCAGGTTTGTCGTCGGGGGGTGGAGGGGGATGATGGGTTGTTTTTGCTGTTGTGGTCGGTGGTTCTGTGGGGTTGGTTGTTGTGCGCACTTTAATAGTAGTCGTAGAACCAATCTCCGCTGTGTTGATAATCGTACTAGTGGTGGCGTGTCCCACGGTTGTAGTGTCATTACCGGCGGGGAGCGTATTCATATCCCCATACATGAGTAGTGCATCGTCATCTTTCGCATCATTGCGATTGTTATTCCGTCCTCCATCCGAGTCGACATTGAAGATCTCCTTTGCGATAACAGACCGTTTTAATTTACCGTAATCTCTATAGTTCAATGCAGATGAGTTCACCTCCCCTAACAAGAGTATGACTGTCACAATAAAAAGAAATTCCCGCATCATTTCTGACTTCTACCGACCAAGCATTAAGTAGTGTGCTCGCTATCTTCTATCCATATGCTAAACGATGATGTACCTGCCTTGTTTTTGTTTGATAACCGTTAATAATCAACTTCGTGTGAGATATCACACATCCCTTCGTGAACTTTGTTCTGCTTACCACACGTCCCTTCATACATGTGTCACAATTTACATCGGGAGTCACGGAGGTAGATACTAATTATAGAACTTTATTAAAAAGATGACATCTGATACAGGGCACTGAATACAAAACGACCAAAGTCTGAAAGACACGACGAAGTGTCTTTTCAAACATGGTATGGGAGTTGTGTGTATATTGTCAAAGTACAAGTTCATTTAATAAGGCTAATGACGTGACCCGAATATACGTGTCATGTGACTCAAAACGCTGGATCTGATTGAACAATATTCAGAATACTAGTTGTATGGGTCGTGACCGATAAATTTTACTTAAATGTGATGGCTGTTCAGCGGCCCTTAATGACCCGGCCACATGTGACGCGCCGCGATGTCACGTTTTAATATGTGACATCTGTCGACATTGCGTCATCATGCGGGTTCAGCTCGCAACATGGCACAGTCCCCCAAGTTAATGACGTCATTATTTAAAAAGCAAAACAAAGTAATTTTCCCGAAATTGAAAGACAATTACTCTAGTTAAAAAAAACATCTTTCAAAATACAAAAAGGCAAAATGTTATGACGAAACTGTATATCAATATGTAGGCGTGATACTCTGTCTCTGTAATGACCTGTAACAGATTCCGATTAATAATAAAAATAAATAAACCGATATTTTATCACATTCATAGATGCAAGCATAGTCAAACACGTAATAACTACAGCTGGCTTTTATCTCACAATGCAGCGGTATATACAATATTTTAGAATCCGCCATGACACGTACAAGCATCCTTTAAATCGATCATCCTATATGATTATTATTTGTATTATGAAATAGACTTTGTTGGACATGATCAAATGATTGCGACGTGGAATAAAACGTACATGAACGCGCCTCTTCTTTTTCAGAATGACATTAAAACGTTATAAAAGT